AGATGGGTGGTAGACTGCTTGTGCTCAGCTGCTGTCAGAGCCCCACCTCAAAATAAGAAGAGCCACTAACCAAACCAGTGTCATTAAAAGGCACCTGGGGATTGCCTTTTAAACACAGACACACACACACACACACACACACAGAGAGAGAGAGAGAGAGAGAGACAGAGAGAGACAGAGAGACAGAGAGAGACAGAATGAACAAGCTGTTACAGTTTACAAAAGACAAAACAGAAAACCAAGTCTAACCTTGAATCTCCCATTCCCTACAAAGGTACAATCTACACTGTACAGATGCCTTTCCAAGGTTAATATGACTCAAAAAAAAATTAGGCTTGAAAAGTCATGTACAGGAAATAGATAACATTTGATCATTAATAAATCATTATTAGCCAGGCGTGGTGGTGCACGCCTTTAATCCCAGCACTTGGGAGGCAGAGGCAGGCGGATCTCTGTGAGTTTGAAGCCAGCCTGGTCTAAATAGCAAGTTCCAGGCCAGCTGGAGCTTACAACAGGGAGACCCTGTCTCAAAAAGACCAAAAAAAAATAAAAATAAAAATAAATAAATAAATAAATAAAAAATAAATAAAAATAAAAAACAAGAACACAAACACCCCTAAACTAAGAAAACAGGAGTTAGGAAAATAAACTGGGCAAACAGATCTCTTTGATTCTAATACCATTCTCTTAGAAAAAACTAAAACCAAACCAAACTACCCCAACAACACCCAAAACAAAGAACAAAAAAATGAATGGAAAACTTTCCAAAGATGTTCATACATACTGCATATAAAACAACTCAATGACAGATTCTATGATGTAAATATCTTCACTTTTTCTACTGAGGTCTATTCTACACATCACACATAAGAAATGACCAGAACTAACAAAGACCCTTCCTAGGTGAAGCTAGTCTCTAGTTCGTGCCAGTCTTGTTTGCTTGAATTTCTTTAAGTGTCAGTCAAGGACAGGCTGGCAGACATGGGAAACAATGACCTGTTCAGTCAGCAGAATTAGGTCTTAACTTCATATTCCATTGTAAACATGTCATTTTTTATTATAGGCAGATGTTTTCTACATCACTGTATTTTAGATTTTATCAATGGCACTACTCCTTGTTCAAGCAAAAATTTAAAATGAACTCACCAGTTAGAACCACTTTTTCTTCTTTTGAAAACTAAAGTAATCTAAAAGAATTTCTAACTCATAAAAATCTCCCATTTTTACCAGGATCTACTCTTCATCAGCATGATTTTGATGAAATCAAACCCATTACTTGGGCCTTCCACAAGTTGTGTGTGTGTGTATGCCCTTTCACATTCCAAATGAAGTTAGCCTAAAGATGTGTCCGCTCATTTCAAGGCCCTGAGTCATGAAACATAACCATTAGTTCAAGGCAGGCGGATCTGAGGTTGAGGCCAGCCTGATTTACACAGCGAGTTCAAGGCCAGATGAGGTTCAAGGAAGACCCTGTGTCAAAAAGACACCCCCTAAAAGAGATCAGAACAGAGATCTCTGAGCACACAAATGGGCTTAGTTTCCCTCCCTGTGCGGAATAGGAGCACCAAAGTCAGTTATAGAATAAAATTTATCAGGTCAAATAATTTTTTTTTACTCTTCCCAAGACAAGAGTTAAATATAGCTGTAGTCACGGAACGTCCTGAGCAGCCAGGCGCCGGCTCCTAGCATACCATCTTTCAAAACTGCTGAGCACTCTGCCGATGCAGTGAATCACAGGCCTATCGGTGTGCACCGCAGCCAGTCAAATTCACAATCAGCTTCAAAATCTGAACTGCTAATTAGGTTAGTAAAGAGCTTGTCCCCGTGATCACAAGACATACCTTGATGCTCTATGCCAACAGCTACAGGCAGAAATGAACTCCAGAAGACAACACACTGTACCTTTTGTGCTCTATGACATTCACTCACTGACACGAAGATATTTATTTGTGCCATTATCTCAGAACAGAGCCTTTGCTAGGACCACTTTGGTCAGAAATTCATCTGCTAGCTTCAGTCTTTAGGCAGTCTGAATTAGACTACGAATTTAAGGGGAAAACCATTTTCTTATGTAAAGTAACTCTGTATAGTGCACACTGCAAACAGAATCCAAAAATCATGTCATTAAAAAATTTAGTAATGGGCCTGGGTGGAGCCCGTCTTTAATCTCAGGAGGTGGGGCAGATCTCTGAGTCCAAGGCCAGCCCAGTCTACACAGCAAGTTCCAGGCCAGCAGGGCTACAAAGACCCTGTCTCAAAAAGAGGAAAAAAAAAAAAAATGGGGCTGAAAAGATGGCTCAGAGATTAAGAGCATGTACAAGGGGTTCAGATCCTTGTACCCACATTGTGGCTCACAACCACCTGTAATTCCAGGTCTAAGGGACTGATAACCCCTTCTGGCTTCTGAGGTGCCTGCATGCATGAGGCGTACATAAACTCACATACATGAAGGCACACACAGAGGAATAAATTGGTAAGTAAATCTCAAATAAAAAAAAAGTCTGCAAAATGGCTCAACGGGGAAAGGTGCTTGATGTCCAAGCCTGAGGACCTGAATTGGATCCCCAGAAACCATATAAAGTGGGAGAGAAATGACTTCACAAAGATGTCCTCTGACCTCCCTCTACAAGCACCCATAAACATATAACACACACACTCACAAACAGAAAAATTTTAAAAGAAACCTTTACAAAAAATAACCAAATGCAATTTTTTTTGTTGTTGTTCTTTTTGAGACAGGGTCTCCCTGTAGCCCCAGCTGTCCTGGAACTCGCTATGTAGACCAGGCTGGCCCTGAACTCACATAGATCTGCCTGCCTCTGCCTCCCAAGTGCTGGGATTAAAGGCGTGTGCCACCACGCCTGGTTTACCAAATGGAATTTTAAAAACAGGTGGTTTACTTAGTTAGGTTTGACTTTCTATTACATTCCTCCTGCATGGGGTTTTTGCTCTGGAAGGGTCGGATAATCAAAAGACCAAGTTAGCAGCACTTACTTATTTTAGGACATTGCTACAAAATCCAGTACTTTGTGTGCTGAACTGAACCTAACAGGAAACACTACATGTTTCAGAGTTATGGACACTGTACACAAAATCTCCCTGAACCACATTCATCAGAAGTCAGATAAGCACATCTATTTCACACTTTCCAAAAGAAAGTAGAGACATCTAAGACCAGATAAAAATCTGTCCTTTCTTCATTAACATTCACTGAGTGCTTACTTCTGGTCCAGGCTGATTGTGGGTAGTATCCTGATACCTTCAACCCTAAAGATGGCTAAGCATTACCTGTCTCACAGATAAAATCAAATAAATGTACAGGTATCAGCAGCCAGAGCCGTGGGGCAGAATCCAATTCTGATAGGCTGAACTCATACCTATTACAAAATCGAACACACATACACCACAATGGTACAGCAGATGCTAGAATATAGATCCAAAACAAAGTCTCCCACTGACAACTCCATTCAATGGTTAGAGGTAAGTGATGAGTGATTTCTGTGCATTAGTGGAGCTATGCAAAGAAAAAAAACACCTACACCCCAAGATGTAATCTGTAACATACTATAAGGCCCTAGGAACTGGTAGTCCAATTTATTTAGGAGCCAAAGTAAAAATAGTCTCCTTTTAACAAATTCAGAAAGCTTCCTTAAGAGATTAAGTTGTGTGATTACTTCACAGCTCTATGTTCTTCAGAAATGTGTCTTAAGGGGGCCGGAGGGATGGCTCAGTGGTTAACAGCCCTCACTGCTCTTTCGGGGGCCAAAGTTTAGTTCCCAGCACCCACATAATGGCTTCATCCTCCCTAATTCTAGTTCTGGCCTCCACAGGCACTGCATGCTAGTAGTGTGCTTACACGCATGCAGGCAAAACACTCAACACATAAAATAAAAATAAATAAAATCGAATTTCCAAACTGGACATTTCCTGTGATGCTCAAGCTTGAGAGAGGCATTCAAGGAGTAAACGTGAAGCCTCCTGAAATGACAAGTTATCGCACAAGAAAAATGAAAGCCAACTGAAGTTCTAAGTAAACAGTTTTGAAAGGGAAAAATACCGGTTTTCTTCACAGTTCTAATTACAGACAGAAATTTTCCTGTGTTGAGCATTTATTCAATATCCAGAGGTCGTGGTCAACAATGAACTTGTGAAAGGAAAACACAGCAGTCAGTACTCATCCATCCCCACCGAAGCTGTGTCTTTTAGAGAGAGCGGATTCATAAAGGAAAATCCACCTTCCAACTGGTAGCACGTGACCTCTACAGATTAGGGTTGAAGCAAGTTCCTTCCTCACTCTTTCGTGGGACTTTTTAACAAAAAAGCATAGGATAGTGATAGGACAGTCCGTACTATAAGAGATGAATAAAAATATTAAGGTGGTGAGAACAAACAAAAAATCCATGGATACAGAATTCAGAAAGCTAAGAACACTCGATCAAGAACGTGTCACTCAACTAATCACTTGCAAGTTATAGGGGGGAAAATACATTGGGTAAAAAATGGAACTAACTTCCCGGAAAGTGGTAGCTTGTAACAACACATATCCCATTTATCATTTCCAGTCAACACTGCTCCCAAACTCAGCACCTGCCTTCTCGTTTCTGGGGGTGCGGGGGGACTCAACATTACTCCCAGGGGCCACTCAACACCCAGGCCAGTCACCGTCTAACTGCATCCAAGTCAACTTCTATTTTAAAAGCCCGCCTGCCCTCACGCCCGCTTGTCTGTGTGCACTAGGGACTCGGTGACCTCGGAAGGGCCCAGTCACCGGAGAACAATTCCCGGTGACCAAGCCATCAACACGACGGACTTCGGGCTAGTTTTCTTAGACTGTGCGAGGCGGCAGCAGACTAATTTCAGGCATCCCGAAATGGCCCTGAATCGTCCCCGCGGGGAGCGAGTGTCCACAGCACCGTGCAGGCGACCCCGGGACACCGGAGTTCGGTTCCTCCCGCGCGTCGCCCTCCACCCCTCGCCGGCCACCCGCGCCCTCCGCCTACCTTCTCGCACAGCGTCCGCACTTGGTTCTCGTTGAGCTGCTTACACTCGTTCAGCTGCTCGACCCACTGGTCCAGTTCCTTGGTGAACGCCTTGTCGTCCATGGCGGCAGCACCGTGCAGGCGACCCCGGGACACCGGAGTTCGGTTCCTCCCGCGCGTCGCCCTCCACCCCTCGCCGGCCACCCGCGCCCTCCGCCTACCTTCTCGCACAGCGTCCGCACTTGGTTCTCGTTGAGCTGCTTACACTCGTTCAGCTGCTCGACCCACTGGTCCAGTTCCTTGGTGAACGCCTTGTCGTCCATGGCGGCGCGAGTCGCGTCCCCGCCGCCGCCCGC